GACATAGCTGTCCCGGTACCTGGGGGCGTTTGCACTGGCTGGGATGGGGTACCAACAAATGTGGGAATTCAGTCGCACATTCAAAATCCCATGTCCAGGCAAGTCAACGTTCTACCGGCACCTGGGGGGCGAGAAGGGGTTGTGGAAAACCATCATTCGAGAGGCGGAGGCATCAATGCTGGATGTTAGGAAATGTATTTTAGAAAGAAACCCTGATAGTGCTGAGTACGTATGCGTGGACGGACGGTGGTCCCAAGTGCGAGAGGGAGAGTGGTGCACTGTCTCATGGATTGATGAACACACGAGAAAGATCTTGTTTGTCCAGACTACGCAGAAGGGTGTTGACGATCCATCGTCGGTGAAGCTCGAACGCCACGCGTTCGACCAGGGCATGGAACGGATGGCGGAAGAGGGATTTCGTATCGGGGGTATCATATCGGATAAAGGGAGTACATTTCGGGGGGCTGCTAAAGACCGGGAGATGAATCACCAAGTAGACTAGTGGCATGTGAAGTAGTCTATGAAGAAAGGGTTCTTAAATGATTTGCAGGACCGCTTGAGGCCAGTCGTCCCCGTTTGTGTGGCGCAACGAATCGGGGATTTATGGAACGCGAGTGTAGAGAACTTGCGGGCCTGGTTGGTAGAGAAGGGTAGAGTAAATGAAGCAAAAGCATCGCTCAAGGAGACGCTCGTACAGCACTTCTGCAAGGCGATGGGCCAATTCCCATACATTCAAATGACGCAGGACGATGCAAAATACATGTTTCCCGAGTTACGCAAGGTGATGCGGGTTGGAGGGGGCACCGCGTGTGTGGGTGTCCCACTTTCCTATGGTGGGGTTCCGATTGGAAGCGATGACAGGCCTAGTTTTGAGGAGGATGCGGTTAACGCGAGGGGTGCGGCGGGAGATGGGGGGACGGGGGGGGCTGAGGCGACCGCTGGACCAGTGAGTTCCGTTTGTGTGGAGGTTCAATTGGCGGACGTGGCAGAACGGTGGGGGTACGATGCACACGACAACTTTGGGATTCGGCCATCTTCCATGGCATCGATGATCATGGTGCAAGCACACATGGGGGATGCAGGGTGCGATCACTTCATCGGTGGAGCGATGCCGTGGCAGAAGATTCCTGCGCCCGCAGGTGAGGCACCCTTGCTGTGAGGTATCGAGTTTGAATTATCCAACACTGACTGAAATCTCTGTGTGTTGGCAGCTGTGACCCCTGCGTCAACTATTGTCGGCCAAGACACATGTCGACATGCCCAGACCGATGCAGGGACCACGGGAAGTGTGGCACTAGAGGTCGCCCACGCGGCCCCCCTACCCCTATGGGCCAAGCGCTCAAAGCGGAAAAGGGGGTCGGCGTCGGTAGAGGGGGCTGGTTGTAATAGGGAGGAGGAGGTGACGGTTGTACAGCGTCTGCTAATCCACTTCTATCACGTCATGATGAGATGCGGCGTCTGCAAGCGCGATGGCCATCCCATGACGGCGGCGGCCGTATCGGAGGAGATTTGCATGTCCGCTGACCACTGGGCGGGGGATCATTCACGGTGTGCACGGGGTGGGATCACCCCCCTACGTTGCGTGTCTGAGCACTGGGGTAAGGAGAAAGCCATATATGCGGACGGATCGAAGACGCACCAAGCTTTGACAAATTGGCTCACAAAGCACTATGGGGAGGAGCAGGTGAAGATGTTCGTCCATGGTGCATGCAGTTCGTTGAACGAGTCGTTTCACTCCCTTATTTGCAAGTATGCACCGAAACGCCTAAGGCTGCGAGGTAGCTTCCGTGCGAGGACTGCTCTGGCCGTTCTCCATTGGAACAACTGCATGGACCATCTGGTGACAGCCTATGTGACCCGAGTGGTCCATGTTACGTGGATTCGATGCGGGAAGCACACTAGAATATTGGGAAAAATGGATTGGGGCTGGGTTGACCGTATTATGGGGGAGTGGCAACAGGATACGCCCAACGCTGTGGAGCGGGAGTATACCGCGGACTTGGGGTGTGATGCGATGCGGCGCACCCACACGCGGCGAGATACAGTGTCCCTTGCATCTCCAGACATTGTTGTCACTCCGCTCTGGACACCTCAGCACCTGAGCCAATGCCCTCCTTCGCCTCGCCGTGTCGCACCTTCAAGCGTTGCTTGGCAGATACTTGGTTAGACTTACACCCGTTCCCTCATTGCATGTTTCATGGTGACCCCCTTAATTGCGCCTGCCCGTGGTCCCTTTGCAACGCCAAAACGTCCAATCCGTCCCGCTGGTGTGTACCCCATAGGCCGACCGTGTGTTCCCAAACCCCCTTTTATGCTTTGCCTCTGACATGCCCGTTCCCACGCATGCAGCTGATGGCACCAACTTGCTGCGGTAAGCGTCCGGCGGGCTGTGTGGAGACTCGCACCCTCAGGCTACCTTTCAAGCCTCCGAGGACCGCGCCTGGCCACGCGCCCCTACAAGCAGCAGCACTGCTAGCCTGACAGGTAAACAAATCCATACCTAGCTCCCTCCGCTCAGCAGATACTTGCTGTTTGGTGTGACCAATTGGTGTGGCTGTGAGTTGTGGGGGATAGGTGTGCCGTGTGTGCGTGATAAGGGTGGCTGATTGTGGTTGCCGATTGGTGTGGCTAATAGGTAGAGCATTAGGGTGTGCAAGGCAGGTGGGGCTGACAGGTCTGGCGGTTTGGAAACCCCAATAGGTGTGGCTGTTTGGCATGGCTGAGAGGCGCGGCAACTTGGCATGGCTGAGAGGAGTGGCTGCTTGGCAAGCCTGATATGTGTGGCTGTTCAACATGCCTCATAGATGTGGCTGTTTGGCGCGCCTGACATGTGCAGCGCATTTTCTCTGCATGGCATGCTTAACATGTGCAGCTGCATGGCATGCCTGACATGTTCAGCTGCTTGGCATGCCTGACATGTGCCTATGCTTGGCATGCCTGTCATGTGCTGCTGCTTGGCATGCCTGACATATGCAACTGCTTGGCATGCCTGATGTTTGCAGCTGCATGGCATGCCTGACATGTGCAGCTACTTGGCATGCCTGACATGTGCAGCTTCTTGGCATGCCTGACATGTGCCGCTATAGCGTATGCCTGACATGTGCAGCTACTTGGCATGCCTGAAATATGCACCTGCTTGGCATGCCTGACATGTGTAGCTACTTGGCATGCATGAAATATGCAACTGCTTGCCATGCCTGACATGTGCAGCTATTTGGCATGCCTGACATATGCAACTGCTTGGCATGCCTGACATGTGCAGCTACTTGGCATGCACGAAATATGCAACTGCTTCGCATGCCTGACGTGTGCAGCTACTTGGCATGCCTGACATGTGCGGCTGCTTTGCATGCCTGACATGTGCCGCTACAGCGTATGCCTGACATGTGCGGCTACTTGGCATGCCCGAAATATGCAACTGCTTGCCATGCCTGACATGTGCAGCTACTTGGCATGCCTAAAATATGCAACTGCTTTGCATGCCTGACATGTGCAGCTACTTGGCATGCCTGAAATATGCAACTGCTTTGCATGTCTGACATGTGCAGCTACTTGGCATGCCTGAAATATGCAACTGCTTGGCATGCCTGACATGTGCAACTACTTGGCATGCATGAAATATGCAACTGCTTGGCATGCCTGATATGTGCAGCTACTTGGCATGCCTGAAATATGCAACTGCTTGGCATGCATGGCATGTGCAGCTACTTGGCATGCCTGAAATATGCAACTGCTTGGCATGCCTGACATGTGCACCTACTTGGCATGCCTGAAATATGCAACTGCTTGGCATGCCTGACATGTGCAGCTTCTTGGCATTCCTGAAATATGCAACTGCTTGGCATGCCTAACATGTGCAACTACTTGGCATGCACGAAACATGCAACTGCTTGGCATGCCTGACATGTGCAGCTACTTGGCATGCCTGACATATGCAACTGCTTGGCATGCCTGACATAAGCAACTGATTGGCATGCCTGACGTGTGCAGCTACTTGGCATGCCTGACATATGCAACTGCTTGGCATGCCTGACATGTGCAGCTGCTTGGCATGCCTGACATATGCAACTACTTCGCATGCCTGACGTGTGCAGCTACTTGGCATGCCTTAAATATGCAACTGCTTGTCAAGCCTGACATGTGCAGCTACTTGGCATGCCTGAAATATGCAACTGCTTTGCATGCCTGACATGTGCAGCTGCATGGCATGACTGACATGGGCAGCTGCTTGGCATGCCTGATAGGCGTGGCGGTTTGGCATGGCGGTCCCACTGCTTAGCATGCCTGATAGCTATGGCTGTTTGGCATGCCTGACATATGCAACGGTATTTGGCATGCTTGATAGCTGTTGCCTTTTGCTGACGGAGGGGGTGGGCTTGTCGGCGAGGCTGCTCCCCGCAGCTCAGGGGGTGCAACCGATTCGTGGGGCTGGTGGGTGTGGCCTCCTTGTTTACGTTGGAAGGTGTCGCTGATGGGTGTGCGGGCTGGGTTCCCCCACTGGCCCTTCTGGTCACCTCCCAGGCTTCACCCCACCTGCCACTCTTGTAACCCCCCTCTCTTCTCACAACTTCCCCTCCCACACCATCTTTTGACCTTAATCCGCCTCTCAGGCACGCCATAAAGTGTTGGAGATTCCTTCCACCCTCCCGCCCAACCATGTTTCATGGTGCAATTGCACAGGTTGGTGTGGCGCTGCGACCGCTTACCCTTTTCCCCCCATACGCATCCGCGCGGTGATTGTGTCCCACGCAGCTCAGCTCGTGACAGTTATGTATTGTAACCTATATATTGTGTGGTAACCGACCTCCCTACACACCCTTAGGCACCGGCCCTGTTGCCGGTTATTCTCCTGAAGTCCCTTGCATTCCGAGTACTCATTTGTGTATGAAGTTGTTGAACCAAGCTAGTAGCACGCAAAGACTGTACAACAAAGCATGTCTTCTTGAAATCTCACAACACCACATGCTCAGGAAAACAATGGATGTACCGGTACCTAAGACCGAGGACCAGAGTAGCAGACATGCCATTGAAATAAAAGCATATTTTCTCTCACAGCGCCACCACAACGCCACACTGGCCAACAAAAGTAGTGCATGTCGTCACTATCCCCTGACCAGAAAGTAGTGTGTAGATAACTAGAGGCATTTGCACATGCCGCTACGGAGATGGGTCCCCCACAGCCCATCTCATATCGGCAGTGATGTTCCCCCTGAAACCGTCTAATCTGATATGGCAGGGAGTGTGTACAGATAAGGGAAGGGGGTGGGGAGGGGAGGGGGAGGGGTGGGGATCTGGAAGGGAAGGGAGGGCAGGGGGAAGGGGGTGTGGGGGGAGAAGCGGATGGTGAGAATGAGAGGGGGAGATGTGAGCACAATGAGAGGGGGAGATGTGAGCACAATGAGAGGGGGAGATGTGAGCACAATGAGAGGGGGAGATGTGAGCACAATGAGAGGGGGAGCAGAGGGCAATGAGAGGGAGAGGAGGACAGGGGGAAAGGGAGAGGAGGATAGGGGGAAGGGGAGAGGAGGACAGGGGGAAAGGGAGAGGAGGATAGGGGGAAGAGGAGAGGAGGACAGGGGGAAAGGGAGAGGAGGATAGGGGGAAAGGGAGAGGAGGACAGGGGGAAAGGGAGAGGAGGATGGGGGAAAGGGAGAGGAGGACAGGGGGAAAGGGAGACGAGGACAGGGGGAAAGGGAGAGGAGGATAGGGGAAGGGGAGAGGAGGACAGGGGGAAAGGGAGAGGAGGATAGGGGGAAGAGGAGAGGAGGACAGGGGGAAAGGGAGAGGAGGATAGGGGGAAAGGGAGAGGAGGACAGGGGAAAGGGAGAGGAGGATGGGGGGAAAGGGAGAGGAGGACAGGGGGAAAGGGAAGCGAGGACAGGGGGAAAGGGAGAGGAGGATAGGGGAAGGGGAGAGGAGGACAGGGGGAAAGGGAGAGGAGGATAGGGGGAAAGGAAGAGGAGGACAGGGGGGAAGGGAGAGGAGGATGGGGGGAAAGGAAGAGGAGGACAGGGGGAAAGGGAGAGGAGGATAGGGGGAAGGGGAGAGGAGGATAGGGGGAAAGGGAGAGGAGGATAGGGGGAAAGGGAGAGGAGGACAGGGGGAAAGGGAGAGCAGGATAGGAGGAAAAGGAGAGGAGGACAGGGGAAAGGGAGAGGAGGACAGGGGGAAAGGGAGAGGAGGATAGGGGGAGGGGAGAGGAGGACAGGGGGAAAGGGAGAGGAGGATAGGGGATAGGGAGAGCAGGACAGGGGGAACGAGAGAGCAGGATAGGGGGGAAGGAAGAGGAGGACAGGGGGAAAGGGAGAGGAGGATGGGGGGAAAGGAAGAGGAGGACAGGGGGAAAGGGAGAGGAGGATAGGGGAAGGGGAGAGGAGGACAGGGGGAAAGGGAGAGGAGGATAGGGGGAAAGGGAGAGGAGGACAGGGGGAAAGGGAGAGGAGGATAGGGGGAGGGGAGAGGAGGACAGGAGGAAAGGGAGAGGAGGATAGGGGGATAGGGAGAGTAGGACAGGGGGAAAGAGAGAGCAGGATAGGGGGAAAGGAAGAGGAGGACAGGGGGATAGGGAGAGGAGGACAGGGGGAAAGGGAGAGGAGGATAGGGGGAAAGGGAGAGGAGGATAGGGGGAAAGGGAGAGGAGGACAAGGGGAAAGGGAGAGGAGGACAGTGGGATAGGGAGAGGGTTCTCGCTCTGGGGGTGTTGGTTTTGGGGGTGCTGCTGTTGAGTGTTCTCCCGGAGGTTGTCGTGCCCCTGCCGGTTCGAGGGTCGAGCACCAGCCGCCGCAGCAGCCGCCGCAGTCGTCGCCGCCGGTCTCCGCTCTTCGCCTGCTCAGCCTTCCCTCCCCTGACCGCTCGCCGGTGTCTCCCCCACCTCCTCCTCACTTTCCTGCCTACGGCCCTGTGTTCCCCCCCCCGGACTCTTCTCCGGCCCGTCTTCCTCCTCGTTCCCCCCTTGTGTCACCTCCGCTGTCTCCTGACCCTACACCTCCGTCCCATGTTTGGTCCCGTGCTCGTCCCGTCTCCCCAGTCCCGCGCTCCCATCCTATGTTACTCCGTTCTCACTCGTCTCGTCCTCCCCTCCTCCCCTCGCCTCCTCCCTCGTCGCTCGTTGTTGCACCTCCCCCGCTGTCTGACTACCTCCGTGCCGCTAGTCCCCTTGTCCCTCGGGTCCTTGCCTCTCTTGTTACAGACCCGTCTGTTCCTGTCTCCTGCCTTGACGCGCTTGTTGCTGCTGTCGCTGACTTCGCCTCTACCCGCCGCCTTGACTACGCTACCACTCTGGTCTCTGACCCTGCCCGTCCTGCGCCCGTCGGGGGTGCACCTGCCCTTGGCAGTGACGTACTAGAGGACAGGCAGTACGAGCTTGCTTTCCTTTCCAAGGCCGCTCCCCATCTCTGCTCCATGCTCCTAGTCCCAGAGGGTGACCATGCATCAGCTTTGGGATCGGACCCACAAGCGCCTCCTCGACATTCATCAGCAGCAAATGCGCGAGGCCGATCGCCACCGCACTGACCACACCATCACCATGGGAGACCAAGTTCTACTCGACACCCGCAATCTCGACATCAGTCATCTCCCATCCAAACTACGACCTCGCTTCTGTGGGCCCTTTCTCCTCGAAACACAGGTCACTCCTGTTACTTTCCGCTTACGCTTGCCAGCTACCTGGAAGATTCACAACGCCTTCCATGTCCAACTTCTGAAGCCGTATCGAGATCCGAACACGGGCTTCACCGGATGCCAAACACCGCCGCCGCCGCCCGTCCTCGTCTACGATGAACCCGAGTACGAGGTCGAGTCTGTGCTCGCACACCGTCGTCGTCGGAATGGCACTGTGGAGGTTCTCATTCATTGGAAGGGTTATGATCATTCTGAGGATATTTGGGTTTCTGAATCTGAGATGAGTAACGCTCGTCGTCCTCTTCGCGACTACCTTGTCAAGCAGGGTGTTACTTCTACCACCCAGCTTTGAGGGGGGGAGTGTGAGAGTACGACCGCGTTATACTTCTTTCTCATTTCCATCTTTTTACTCTATCTCATTCTTCTAATATTCCTGATTCCTTCGATCTTTATCACATCCCATTTGGTTTCCTATTCTTCCTTTCTCATTATCCTTTGGGTTATCCTATTATTATAATTACAGCGACGGAAAGTATTGTCCACATGTTTGTGACTTAGAGAAATTTTGCCATTTTAGGGGGTCATGGACATTAAGACTTAATCTTCTGGTGTGCCTAGTGTATGTAGGTTGGGGTAAGGCTCCACGCCCATGCCTTGCATCACACAAGTATAATGATGTTTACAACAAATACTAGAAAATAACAATCTTGGTACATGTGGACAATTATTGCCAGGCGCAAGCAGCAAGTTACATCAGCCCCTAACTAGTACCTAATCCACCGCCCTTTCGCCTTAGACACCGCCCTCACCCTCTTGGGCATGCTTTCCACCAGGTGGGTGCACACATCCGCCGGGATCTTCTCCATTTCTCCTGCACCCCCTCCCAAAGGTCCAGCATACCAGTGGGAGGCTTATAAGGCTTGGCCAGCTGCCTCTTGAGATGAGCCCATAAATGCTCCATTGGGTTGAGGTCGGGTGAGAAAGACGGCCACTCTAGCACCCCTGAATCTTACTCTCAAAGCCACTCCTGTACGATACGCGACTTGTGCTTCGGGTCGTTGTCGTGCTGGAAGATAGTTTTTGAGGGTGTAAGCTGGTAAAGCTCAATCGTACTGTTGAGATCGTCCTGCAGTATACTCAGCGAGAGCAGTCCGTCCACCCTACCATATGTTTTGCTCATGAAGCCTGCTCCCTTTTACAATATGCAGTCGTAAATTATCAAGCAACCGCCCCCGTGTTTGACGGTTTGCTTGATTCGGTGTCTTTGGAGGGCAGTCCCTTCGTGAACGCAGGCGTATGAGAGTCAGTCGGATGCAAGACGACGGATCTTGGTCTCATCCGCACAAATAACTCGCTTCTAGTCGTCAACCGTCCAGTCTGCGTGGGCACGCGCCCATTCCAGCCTATCGCGTATGTTTTTCCGAGAGTGTCGCGGTTTCTTGGGATGCTTGATTGCGACAAGTCGGCTCCCATTCAAAGCGTTACGCAATGTCTTAGGATGCAACGTGATGCCGTGCTGCTTCTCAACGATTTTCGCCACGTGAGCGGAGATTTCTGCCTCCTCGAGGGTAATCGACCGAACTATGCCGCGGCGAACTCTCTCTGTCACTAAGCGAGGGCGACCGGCTGAGGGCATCGTAGGACGCACGTCATCGCGGCTAGACTCTACAATCGCCTTGATGGGCCGAACTCTTCCCTATGGCTAGCTGTTTAGCGATTCAACGATTGCTCTACCCCCTCCGCAACAAGGGAATGATCTATGCGTAGAGCGCCTCATCTAACGGTTTCATGACGGCCTAATCATCGCAGCGGTCCTAGCCTATCTCGTGACTACTCGATAGTCGCGAGGGCAAGTAAGAAGAAATAACGAGGTTAGGAAATAGATCTACTACGCTGCTTGGCCTAAACTGTCCGGATGCACCCACGCGGACGAAATCTCGTCCTCGGTAAAAATCGACCCCTATAAAACTGAAACCAGCATCCGTCACATACAGTACAGTACTACTTTACATCCAACCCCGAAATTTGATTCGTAACTAAACAAAGAAGGCACCAAACCAGTACGAGAAATGTTTTAAGGCAATTATCAGGGCAATACTTTCCGTCGCTGTATATCACCGACTAGGCTCAAGATATGCTGGCGCGCTATATCTAGGGTAATCTTGCCGTAATCCCTTAAAGCCAATAGCCTCGCGTGGCTATACGCAGGGTGATTCTATTTCTAGAAGGGTCTATTCCCGTTGGACATGATAAACCTGGTTACCTGATGTACCTCGGAAGTATAAAAGCCCCTTGTATCAATCGATAGTGCAAATTTCCTTGACACATTCGATCCTGTGATCGTTGGGGACGCGCTTGCTGTCCTTGTGGCGCCTCCCCCAGCCTCGGTACCTCAGTCACCTCAACCACCTCCCCCCTTGCCTCAGCAGAAGCAGCATCCACCACAGCAGGCTCAGCGGCCACAGCAGCAGCAGCAGGGAGCAGTGCGCTCTGGGGGTACTGGTTCTGGGGGTGCTGGTGTTGGAGGTTTTGGTGTTGGGGGTGTTGGTTCTGGGGGTGCGAGTTCTGGGAGTGCGAGTTCGGAGGGTGCTGACTCCGTGGGTGCTGGCTCTGTGGGTGGTGCATCCGAGGGTGCTAGTCTTGGGGGTGCTGTTTCAGGGAGTCATTCACTCATGACACA